GTTGCTGTCTGCGTTAGATTTGACAGCAAAATCGTCATTAGCACTAGGGGAAAAGAGCTTTGCTGCGTTTCGGCTGCAAGAGGAAGTAAATATGCTGGTATTGCTGCAAGGACTGGTAGATATCGCTAGAGAAACCAGGGAAGTTGCTCTTCAGATGGTAGTATGTACCAAGATCCTGCAGCAAGCGGAGCTCCAGCGAGCAGAGGAATTGCAGGAGCAGATGGAGCAGACGATAGCAGCAGCAAGAGAAGCAGCTAGCCTTCCTGCTGTTGTGCATGCTGTTGGTGAGTATGTCTCTGCTAGCGAGAAGCTGCATCAACTAGCATGGAAGCAGACGTTAGGCAGTTTCATCACAAGAGATGCTGCATCCGCAGCAGCAACAACAAAGTAGCAGGCTCTTATATTAGTTCATAAGGAATCCCGTCTCATCGCAGCTGAATCAACTAAAGGGGGGTGTATCAAAGAAGAGGCGAAAGGTCAAGCAGCAGCAGTAGCAGAAGCGGGAGAGGAAGGCGAAGGTTCATGTTTCATGGGGCAAAATGCGCAAGACAGAAATAGTAGCAGCAACGGAGCGAGAAGGACGCGGGAGGAGGTGACCAACCATCTTGAGCAGGAGGTGGAGTGTTTGGTAGAGACACACCAGAAGCAACAAATGGAGAAGAAGGCGTCAGCATAGAAGAACAGGGAGGAGTGGAAGGAGGAGATCTTGGTACAGAGAAACCAGCAAGAACAGAAAGGGAAGAAGCCTTCAGTAAGAACGCTGAGTGGAAAAGGAAGGAGGAGAGTGGGGAGAATGAGGAGAAAGATGCTGAAGGATGGCGTGAAACGGGGAGACATTATGAAGAAGACGAATGAAGGGTCAGAGAAGGGAAGCACGAGGAGGCGGAAGAGAAGGCAGAGTTTTTAGCAGGGGAAGAAATGGAAAAACAAAAAAAGGAGTAAGGTAGAAAGGGCATCCGGGCGAATGATCGTGTGAAACTCACTTGGACACTTCTGCAGAAGGGGCTGCCAGGCGACTCGGACAGACAGAAGCAGCGAGACAGTGGTGGCGCTGCAGCAGAAACAGAAAAGGCAAGCAAGAACAGGAAGATAACGGCGTAACAACAACGTAGGCGGAGAAGTGAGTAGCTATTTTTTTAGTATATAGACGTAGAAAGGAGGTAGGAAAGGAGGCAGGGAGCAAGGAAAATGAGACAATGAAGCAAAAAACAGACAGAGAGGATCCCGGTGTTTCCAAGATTGCGGGATAAGGGACCAGTTATGTATGTAACGCTGATCCGGGCCCTTACCCAGGGAGTATTGCAAGATGCAGCGTAGCCAAAATACTTAGGATGAGCGCTAATTATAGCAACTGATATCCTTCGCCAGTCTGTAGGCTTTCTGGGCTCAGCGACTGAAGCGGGTGGAGCTGCGGGAGAGGGGTCCCCATGACGGTCCTGTCAACACAACTCACGTTGCTGCAACTGAAGGCGGCGGTCAACCTAACATGAAGGCATCCGGGTGCCTTCTTGGCTCTATTTGCATACATTGAAGACCGTTGCACAATTTGTCTACTAAGGTCACGTACTGGTTCATGCCCCCAAATCAGACAGACAAGCCAATATTGCGCTGGCAGTGATACAAGAATGGCACTAAAGGAAAATGTACACACAATCCAGCATAACATGGGAATATGCCCGAGGAGCTTAAATACGCTGGTCCGGTTAACAGTAGGAAGGCATAAGAAAGGAGATAATAATAAGGCGACAAGGACCATGAGTCCTTATTGCATGACGCTTATCTACTATTTTCGGTCGCAGCTTAAGGGGGGGTGTTGAGGTGGGTGAGTGGTAGGGGGGTGGGGGAGCGAACTTACAAAATTGCTCAGTAATTTCGAGAGGGAAGTAGACAGAGAAGTATGATACACAAGTTGGCAGAAGAGGCAACAGCATTTCCAAAGACAGAGGGACAAACGCTCAGAAGTCGCAGGAGCGAAGAACGAGCAGGACTTAGCTTGCTGGACGTATCCGCAGAGCTGTTGGCGTCTTACAAACGGAGAAACGGAATGCAGGTATCTGATACAACGCAATAATAAGAGGTAACAAGTGATGCCAACGAGTCCATGAGCTTTTGGGAGGAGTTGAGCTTATCCAGCTGGAACAGCAGGCATATCGCCGCCAGCTGCGGCTACGGGTTGCAGTGGACCGCTGTTCATTGGAGATTGCGTGGCTTTCCATACCTGCCTTTTCCTCAATCTTTGAAGGTTTATGTACGAAATGTATTAAGTCCCTTAAATATTCATGAAATGATGCTTCGTTCACCCCCATTTTAGCCAGTTTTCGACAAAGCTGGCGTTCCCCTGAGCCTGGGGGACGCTCCCTGCAGGTTTCACCTCCCCGTCGTAATATTTTATTAATTCCCTAATTAAATTCGTTCCTGAGATGATGAAACAGAAAGGTACTAAACGACCTCCCGTTCCGGCAACGCTGGGCGAAACTGCAGGGAAGATTCTTCTTCTGCACGCGCTGCTGCTCCTGATCCTCCTTTGCCAGTGGGATATTTCGTCGGCATCTCCACATTTTAATGTCGGCAACGAAGGCTTTGAAATGGAGGAAGCCTCTGGTGTTTCAATCAACAAAGCAGCTGAAGCACCAGCGGATCCTGCAAAAGGAGACGAGCAAGATGGTAAAGCAGTATTACAGCAGCTGTCGGGTGAAGGCGTGGATCATGTGAGCGTGGATGAGACTCGGAATGCATGGAAGAAGTTTGGTTGGCCCGCATTGGGTCTTGCTGCATCTTTGATGATTCTGATGTTCATTGCTACAGCATGGGCGATTGCTGCTGCGGCTCCCAAGGACAAGAGTCTCCCCACAGTGCTCCATGAAAAGGATGAAAAAATGGAGAAGGAGGAAAAAGAGAAGGCAACAAGTGGTAAAGGACCGAAGGAAGAAGGGGAAGGACAGGGGCAAAAACAAGAACAAGAACAAGAATATATTCTGGATAATGCTGCAGATCAGTTGGAGCTGCAGCAGCATTTGCATGCTTGCTGGCTCCCTGCACAGTCTTTGGGTGCATCCGTGGATCAGCCAATGTCTACTAAGCTGCTGGTGCAACTGAAGGAGCATATGGACGCGGCGGAGCAGCATCAGTCTGCTGCAGAGGTCGGGGACCGTGCAGCAGTGGCTGCGATTGCTGCTGCGAATCAAGCAGCCGTAAACGATCTTGCAGCTTTGGAACAACTGGCAAGAGATATTGTGATGACAGATGCAGGAGAAATATTTACGTGCGCCAGAGCAGCACTTATGACTGATACAGAATTTGTAAACCTCGTGTTAGAAAGCACAACAGCAGCACGATCATACCAACAGGCATGGGATCAAGCTGTACGCGTGTGCAACGACAGGATTAGCTTCCAGAAAGATGAGGCAACAGCAATCAGGACGCAGCTACAGAGCTTCCCTCCGCTGCAGCAGCGGCAGCTGGGGCGGTTGCCCGAGCGGCTTTCTGCGGCGCGGGTTGCAGTGGAAGGTGTCCGTCGTTGCTTGAAGATGAAAGAAGCAGCAAGAGGTGTGGCAAGGGAACTGCGCCGGCGTCCCTTGGTATTCTTCAAGAAGGGCTGCCTAGGGCGCTTGGAGCTTGTAGGCATAAAAGGAGCAGTTCTACAGGAAATTGTTTCTGCATTGCTGAAGGGTGCCACAAAGCAGGCGAAGTTGATATCTGCTCTTCAAGTAGTTGCACCTGCATTGCCGGAGGTTGCTACGAAGCTGGCGAATTTGAAACCTATAACAAACGAAGACACTGAAGACATTAGTGCATGGAGCAGTTCGCTGAAGGATGCGAATTGTGCGCACAGCTCCCTGCAGAAGCATCTGCACGTGCTGCGTGGTGCGAAGAGCCTGCAGGGGGCTAAGGCAGCAGCAGATGCTGCAGAAAAAGCAGGGGTGCATATGTCGCAGGTTCTCGACGGGCTAATCAGGGATTTGGCACGTTTCTGGAAGAGGCATGAGCAGCTTGAAAAGAGTGAAGTTGAGAATACAGTGGCGCATCCACCAGGGCTGCCGACCTTGGACAGCCAGGTTAAGTCTGTGCTGAACACCGAGTCGCAAGAGTTTGTTGCGGAAGCAGAAGAAGCTGAGAAACTTGTGCTGGATGTGGGAAGCAGGATAGAGCTGGAGGTGGCAAGGCTAAGGG